TCACCAAATAAACGTTTGACATATGAACATAACCTAAAATCTTAATATTTAGTTATGTACATTATAGGTTTTATGTGTATAATAACATAATTATTAACATATTTTTGGACTAAGCAATTTAAAATGTAATCATTATTTGTTACGAAAGTGAAGAAAATTTGTTAAAAGTAAAATAAAAAAGAAAAAGAGTAGTGGAGATATTTTTGGGTCCTAAAAATTGGTTGAGCAGGTACAAGGAAAGATCTCAGTGTAAAAATAAAGAATTCAAAGTCCTCGTTTAATTATATCGATGTAAATTTTATGATAGAATATTATGTACATTAAATAGTAAGTACCTAAGTACAGGTGGTTCCAATTCGATGTCCGAATAGGCTAACTCGGAAAGTATAAGAGTTAGAAAAAAAGTAGCTTACATGTCGTGATCTCGTTTTTCGAGAAAGTGCTAATGCCGAAAACCTCATACCGCTACCGTCTTTTGTTTTTTTTGCCTAGAGGTCAAAATTGAAAATATCGTAAAACCAATAAGTGCAATTATCTTGGTTACTATTATAGGTGGAGTATTATAACTAAGACATTATATGGACACTTTTTTACAGAGAATTTGATGACGTAGTCACAAAAATGTTGTCGGTTTTAGTTTTTGAGATATTATCACAATTTTGGTTTTTTTAAATGGAAACAACCACTGATTATTCGCTTAATAAATTCGTTATTTTTTTCTGATTACAAAAATATAGGGTTTGACAGGTCTATTTCTTATTCTTTTAGAATAAAACTAAAAATAAACTTTTCTTTTAGTGTCGTCCAAGAAATTAAATTTACAGTTTCCTGTAAATTACGGTTCTATAACTAAAAATTAAAAAAACATATTTCTGATATTTGAAACAAATATATTTGTTGAACTGTTTAATTTATATATGTTTTACACAAAAGTTGGAATAGATTGCATTATTTCACATTTTTTATTACGATTTAATATTATTTTTAAATGACTTAATAAATTATCGATAGATGGCGCTCATATGTTTTTTTTTAAATTCAAATAAACATAGCAACATTTGTTTGTATTCAAAAATTTTCTGAAGTGTCACTTTAAAAATCCTGTTTTTAAGATCAATTACGAAAATTTTGAAAAGTTTGACATGTTAGAATGTTACATATTAAAAAATTATTTGTTTTTAAATACCAGAAGTTATCTTCGTATTTAATTGTTAACTTTTTAGATTTTACCTACCGCCCCGTAACTTACAGGAAACTGTAAATTTAATTTCCTCGACGACACTAGATGGAAATTTTATAAAAAAAGTTTATTTTTAGCTTTATTCTAAAACAATAAGAAATAGACCTGTCGAACCCTATATTTTTGTAATCAGAAAAAAATAACGAATTTAATAAGCGAATAATCAGTGGTTGTTTCCGTTTAAAAAAACGAAAATTCTCATGATATCTCAAAATCTAAAACCGAAAATTTTTTTTGACTGTCATGAAATTCTCTGTAAAAAAGTGTCCATATAATGTCGTAGTTATAATATAATGTTTAATGAATAACCTATAATACATAAACTTGATATTTAAAGCAATATTCAACGTCAATTTCACACAAAAGTACATATATTCTAATTTATTTGATGCATCTACGATCATTTATATTTAAAGGAAATTATCTACAATAATTGCATTTTCAAACTGCATAAAATACGCGCGAAACACTTTAAGCTTTTTAAAATTTACGGTTCGCGCATGCGCTTTCGCGACACTTCAAACGACAAAGACAGAACATATAACATTCCGTCTGCCTTTGATGGAAACGCTCGCCACTCATTGCTTACATAGGGAGTCAGCGATATAGGAAATAGTATATATGTATATGCGTGAAATGGACCTCTACAAAGAATTATTCATCAATGTAGGCAATAATAATCAAATCAAATTAATGAACGACCTGACTGAATTCAATAACAGAAAAAGATTTTTTATGACATTTGTGTAAGCAATCCAATATGTCGTTACCACACCAACCACACAACACCCCCACCCCCCTCCATAACATCATCCCTCTTCACTAGAATATTATATGTCAATCACGCATGCGCTTTACATTTATTTTAATGTCAGTACGCCATTGTTATAAGTTGTGGAACGCTCTTTCGAAAACTCGCTAAACCGATAGTTGATTTTGCTGACCATCTATTTTTAACACCCTTGACAATAATTGCTGTTAACAACGTGTTGTTCATACAGCAAAATAACTTTTTACATTTCATTGTCGGTTGTTGAAAAGATATTCCGCTTGCGTGTTCGTCGTGCTTTTGACAGAATAAGTAAGTCGCCATTTTGTTTTATAACTGTTCTCTCGAAATTAATAACTATATTTTTTAGCAAGTTAAGAACCGAATAAGAAGTGAACCTTGTTTTCTTTACAGAATAGATAACGAATACTTTTATAATTAAACCGTTGCGTAAACGTGGCTTAATATTAATCTATCTTCACTACTTGTGTCGACAACATAATCATTTTCAACATCGATAAAAATTTTGACGGTAAAGTAGTTTTACACACTTACATCTATCCTTATAATTTATGTCTTTCCTTTTTATATATAGCACCTCACTTTTCTTCAGTCGTGCCTGAAGAAGAGTGAGGATTTCACTCGAAACATTGTAGCACCGAAACATTAATAAAACCATTCATCGTCCATTTTGGTTACATTTATTATAACTCACGATGAACTTAGAATCCATTTTATCCAAACATAGAATCATTTGGGTTTAGCCGCACGTCTGAGTTCTAGGTATAGTGTTACTTCTAGTTTTGCACTTGCACTGTTACTATCTAGAACTAACCCTATACCTAGAACCAGAATCATAGTTCTAATGTTAGTTCTAGTGACAGAGCAACTGTAAAACTAGAACTAACACTATACCTAGAACTAGAATCATTGCGGGTTTAGCCGTCTTTAGAAATGTGCAGCTAAACCCGAATATTTCTAGTTCTAGTGTTAATTCTAGTGACAGAGCAAGTGTAAAATTAGAACTAACACTATACCTAGAACTAGAGTACCTAGTTCTTGTTTTGCACTTGCACTGCTAGTATGAAGAACTAACACTATACCTAGAACTAGCATCATTCGGGTTTAGCCGTCTTTAGAGACGTGCGGCTAAACCCAAATGATTCTGGTTGTAGGTATAGTGTTAGTTCTAGTTTTACACTTGCTCTGTTACTAGAACTAACATTAGAACTTAGTTTATTAGAACTTTAGTTTAATAAAAACATGCAATATAGTGATATTTTATGCTAACTAGCCACCTGGTAGGTGGGGTTTAGGGTCCAAATGTTTCTAGGTCTAGTGTTAGTTCTAGTGCTAGTGTTAGTCTAGTTTTATTTGTTATTCAGCGCTAGATTGTTGTATATATTTATTGATCCGTTATATCGAGGTTTCACTGTAATGTCAAATTATATAGACATGTTGCATTTTATGTGGGACAAACTAAGCAGGTACGCCCAGATTTCTATGAAAATAAATTTTTGTATATTGCATCTTAAGTGAAATTCAGTGTATAGATGGAGTTTGGAAATGCCTACAAAGCTTATGTCGTTAAATCGGCACCGCATCGCTGTCATGATCTAATTAATATGAGCCCCTGAGTGAATTTATAATGCATGGCCGTTAGGTGTCGCGTGGCAGGGGTCGGCCGTTATAGCAACCCCTCCTGACCCCGCACGACCCGCGTCACGGCAATTTATGGAGGTAGTAATTTTGGCTCCGATAGCGGGCTCCGGCTAAAAATTTCAAAATTATGCCTCCAGAAGGCGAACGTAGATCGGGGAATTGCGTTTTGAAGAGAAGTTATGCTACCGCGTTACGATGTGGTGGTGCGGTGCCATCGTCGTCGACGGTGGTGCTAAAGTGGATTAACCTAGTCACGTCCACCGAACATTACGCAAATCGAATACGTTTTTGTTAACATCGTCGTCATAAAGGTAAAAATATCGAAAAATTGTCGTCTTCTTAATTGAAACGCCAGTTAATTTAGGCAATTGTTTTAACTGAAATATATGCGTAAAAATTGCTCTGGCATTTTCCCGATATATTTTCAATGAATTTTTCCAACCACGTTTCGTCCGAATGCAGACCCACCACCAATTATTTCGGTGTGCAAACAGTAATTCTATATATAACGATATTTATTTTACATTGCACGCCTCGGTTTATTTGTTACAACTTGTCATACGGCCCCCGTTCGCTGTGGCTGGATTGCAATTACTAATTTGCTGATAATTATTATTTCGTTGAATCTATTTTGCCTGGTACATTTCGAACTGTTGACGGCTAAATCAACCATCCAATGGAAAATAATTATTAGAGATAGCGGCTATTTATTATATCGTACGTGCTCTATTATTTCCCCAAAACATTGTTTTTCATTTTTTGTTTTTATTTTACCATTTTTTATTTAAAAAAATAGTCACGTATTTAGCCAAATTTAAATTTACCTACAAATAGAATTATTTTATTCTTTATATAAAATCCTTGTAATATAAAACCTTCTCGTATTTTGAAAATTTATTGGCACCGATCTGGAGCCCGATGATATTGGTCGAGAGTCGGCCCTTCTGGCAACATAAAATGCCAAAGGTTCAGATTAAAATGTGCATATTGAATCAAACCGCGTTCGCTGTGCTCCCATTCCACTGAAATAATACCGCGCTATTATTTTTGGAATTACAATAAAACGGAAAGGAAAAGTTGCCGTGTACGCGCTTTGATATTCATGTGAAAACGTTTATATGTTTGTTTCGAACAATGACCGATCGAACGTTTAAATATTTTATAAAAAGCAATAACAGCTTTGTGGACCGTATTGCCGCATAACGTTATTGAATGGCGTTTTATGTACCATAAAATTCTGATAGACGACGATAAAGTCTCTTGAAAAATCGAATTGTCCCCGTAAATACATTTTGTCTATATAGACAACTTGGAGCCACTTACCTCCCAATATAAACATTCCACAGGCAATTAGGGTTTTATTGTCACCATTACAATGGCCAAGAAGTGCGAAGAAGAATCCTAGAAGTAACAGGACGATTGCTGCTCCAGATAATACGGTACAGGACCTAGAACAAAAAAAGAAAAAAAAAATTACGAAACGTGGAAAAGTTTTGTTTCTTCTACACCATTATTCTGTACCTACACGTCTCACGAGCTATTGACGTCATATTCTGGTTGTATCTTTCAATATTCGAGTAGTTGCACGTGGAAAATTGATGCCATGCGAAGGAACTCACGTTTTGTATTCAATTTAAGTACGTAGTACGGAATGCGCACGGAGAAAAGTTCGAGTCCTCTACGTATAGGTCACCGATTTTTTGCCCCATCACTTCGACGTGTAAATTGGAAAACTTGACAAAAGTTAGATGAGATTCGACGCGCAACCTATCAACCGCTCATAATTCGCAACACGATCCCTTACAGTATAAATTTATTTAGTTATTTATAAAAGAAAATTATGAAACGAAACGATATCCTCAATTATACTAGATCACAAATATAAGCTGTCATCTAAAATAGTCACGTTTCAGAACATTTTCGCATACTACATTTTTGGTCATGTAAAGTTCGCAATTTTAAGGTCACAATTTCAAAAAGAATTTTAAATAAATGTTTATGGTCTAGACTTGCATTAAACAATAGCAAACAAGCCATATTAATGATCTAAATATGTTTGATAGATTATGTTTATGGTAACTTCTTAAACTTTTTCCTATCTTAATGTACACAAATTTTTCAAAGATAAGTTATGAGTTGGATAAGGCGTTACTAATGAAAATGTGCTCAATTCTACACAACAAATAAAATTCAAGGAACAGATCTACATTCCCAGGATACGACGTTTGTTGGCATGTTTTTGTATTGGGGGTGGTTATTTGGCTGTCACATCGTGAATATAAATATCAAAACCAAAAATTAGTCCAACCTCATTACCTAATATTGGCAGCCAATTAGTAAATAAGATGCTGGTTTGCAAGAATTTAATTTCATAGCCTGATGAATAAAATTGTTGCAATCTTATAATCAAAATTGATGTTGATTACCCACTTATGTAAACCAAGATTGCAACATGGAAAGGATAAATAATAAGCAAAACAATAGCAAATAAAGAGATTATTTTAAAAAACTTTCTAAACATGGAAAAACCTGCCAAGTATTGGTGAAACAAGGAATGTCATTGATGCACTAAAACTCGGAAAACCGATTTCATAGACAAACTATTCACGGTTAAGCAAATATGAGAACAAATATAGAGAAAAAGAAAATATGATGCAGACTAGGTCAGGAATGGTCATGGGTAGTAATACGATGGACGACATAAAGATAGCCTCGCAATTCGTATACCTTGATATGATGCTGGCTAGGGATGGCAGCCAGGCTAAGAAAATACGAAGAAGAACACTGCTGACCAACAAAGCTTACTATGCAATAGCTCGTATAATCTAATCTAAGTGTATACATAGAACAAGATGGAAGGACGAGTCGGACAGAGACGCAAGGGATACAGTAGAGTTCTGAAGTTTGATGAGGGAGACAATAGTTAGAGAGGCATGGAGGAAAAAGTTGATTCAGGGCAGTTTATTAGAGAAAAAGAATGCTTTCATGCAACATTCCTGGAAATATTCTAAGGAAGTATCATCGACATAAAAATGGTACTTACAACACCTAAGCAATTAGAACTGGTCTACTTGCTTAGGTGCTGATATACATCAAATGGCACCTACAGGAGTGCTTGAGAAATTGTGTACGTTTAATCTAGAATAAAGATCACAGAGTTATGCTAACCAGAACCTAGATTGCGATATTCGCTGCTCATTCAACTACATTACTATTACAGTTTATTAAAATAATGAGATGAGTTGAAATTCGTCTTGCTGCACCCAAGCTAAAGAATCGTTCTGATTCTCCGGTCCTCTCTATTGAGAGCGTCTCTAATCGATGCTTCATACATGTAGAAAAGAAAAGCAGGAAGACTATTGTCTCAATCGATCGGAATGATGAAACAAAAAGAAGGCCATTGATTTGTAACGGATGCTAGATGATATTCTCTCTGACTGCTTCTATGTAGAACTGTGATGTTGTGTTCACAACACATTTAGAATTGGTCTAATTGATTAACAACGTCCTTAGAATAATACTTCAGGAGGTTAGAAGGATTTCAACAAAAATGGTACCTATTGATGATTTTTGAGTGTATTTGTTTAATACCAGGAAACAGAAAAAGTTTGTTGATGTGTGTCGAAATGGTACTAATTGATTGAAAAGAATTTCAGGTTATTTAAAAAAGTCACAACAAGATAATAACTTTAAAGGAGATATTTTCCAGATATTACGAAGATTTTAGAATACAGAAAAATTTGATTGGTGCGAATCAAAGTTGTTCTAATCAATTAGAAACATCCTTACGACACTTAAGGAGGGTAAATGGAAAATATATGTGTCGAAATGCACCAATCAATTGAAAACAGCTTCGGCTTATTTACAAATGACATGACAATACGGTGACTTTAAAGGGGAGTTTTCCAGAAATTTAAAAGACTAGAATGTGGAAAAAGCTGATTGATGTGAATCACGATAACTAATATGTCGATAACTAATATAAGGTGGACCGTTTGTCGAAATTTGGTGTTGAGAACGATATTATACAAAATTATCAGCAAGTTCTGGCAATAAACTTTAAATGGAGGAATGATTGATCGGTGTATACACCTATTGCCTTTGATACGGACTCACTACAATTTTTGCCTATAAAAGCTTTGCAATTACGTGTCCAAATAAAACCCTATTTTCTGGCGTGTGATTGACAAAGCATCGATCAGCGGCACCTTCAATCTTCATACCAGGACGTTCACCAGTAAAACTAGACTGTTTTTGCAGCGTAGAAACGTCCAAAAAATGACCTCGTTTAAGATGACTGACGAATTTGACCACGATAGCTTTATGCTACTACATCAACATCCCGAGGTTTTTTATTTTCAAATTTAAATTAAATTTAACTCGATTTTTTAAGTTGAATCAAATTTAACGTAAATAAATATATACATTATCGTTATATCTACGTTAAATACAACACAATTCGGCAAACTACTCGTTTGGATAGGTTCCAGGATAGATTTTTCAACAAACGACGCGACAGTGTTAGAAAAGTCAATTTTCTCCAAATGAAGAATGCCATTATTTCGGACGACGTTTTATTCAATTTCAGGGGATTTCTCTAGAAGCGATCAAAACTTCCGACGGACTTCTGCTATTAAAAGTTAATGTCTTTCTTAGCCCGTCTAAAGCTTTTCGGGAACGTGAATTTTGAAGTTTTGCCCGGATGTCGACGATTAAACTTCTTAGCTTGATACTGTTTTACACTTTTAAATTGATTGCGCAGAAGGTTCTTTCCGTAAAAAATCAGTTTACTATCACATAATAAAAGTGACATAAAATCCAAATAGGTCTATTTTATTTGGATTAACGAACAAATTCTATGGTTTACAACACTATAAATTTAGTTTAAGAAGCACGACTCGGTTGTGCTTTCGTTGTAAGTCTGTCGTACATCTTCCAAATCAAATTTTAATAATAAATTAAGGTACTTTTTTTCTAGTACTCTTTCTCGGACGTACACCGTATTACATTATCTCTCACGGTTGTGGAGATAAAAAGAGGAGAAATTTAGCAGGGATTTGTAGGACGTTCGAAATAGGAGCGGCGCGAAACGATAAATTCGCCAGATAAAACCTACGGAGTGAGGGCGAGCTTGCCCGTTCGTTGTTTTTGGTTTAGTAATTGTAACAAACGACCTCCTGAGCTGCACCAGTCCAACCCGTCCCGTCGTTATCTGCGAACTGTATTAAATACTGGCCTTCAATTGTAACCACCATAAATCTTACGGAACAATTAAAATAAAAAAGAAACATTTACTGGGAAACGTTTTTAGTGTTTTCCGATTTCGTTACACTTTCCAATTAAGATTGCCAGTCATAACTTTCCCCCCGTTCCGAGTCGTACTCGAATTGTAATTAAATTATAAATGCAAACAGCCTATAAAAATGCGGGATACTTTTTATACAACCAACAAAATCTAAGCTATGCATTTTTTCCTCTGAAAATATGAGCACATATATAACTCCTAAAATATAACCACAACCCTTAACGCAAACCGTTATCGTTTCTCACCTTAAAGTGCTTTAGCAAACATCCACCGTTTACCGAAGAACGTTAAGGAGGTTCCCCATATTTTCTAATACTTCTTTCGGGGCGTTTCATTATTGGATATAAATCATTTCGAATAACTCGTTCCATTATGAATTTTACAGAAAGTTATTTTTAACAATAAAGGCAGAATAAAATAGAGACCAAGAGAGAATTAATAATTGTTGTATTGATCCATCATGTATAACACAGAGCGCGCTTTGAAATGTGCAACCACCATGAAGTAATTGATTGCAGTTTTCGTTCTGAAAGGAATAAGCAATAAAAAGACCGCGTTCGTCGCTTATTTAGGGCTATTTATCCTTGTCAAGAGGACATATCATTGCAATCCGCAATATACGCGGCGAATTTCCCAAAAGAAATATAAGCGTCATAAGTAGGTGTCATCCTGGGATAAATGACATTGCCTGTGCGGTAAATGTTGCGAAATAAACTGATTTGACAGTCGAAACGAACATTTTACCCTTTTAAAAAAGTTAGGGTCACACTAGTATGAAATATTAAGAACAATCGTACTTGATATATAAGTAAACTTACAACTAAAAAACTGTCTCCAAATGAATAGCAGACGTAGTTATAAAATCGAATGTGACTATAATAATGGTCGAGTTGAAAGTCTCAATATTTTTATTTCTAGATTTGTTGAAACTATTTCAAAAACAAGGGAAACATCGATGGATTGAAACGTAAACCAGGACTTGTCCATCACTAATGAAAAATTTCAGGACGATTCGTTTGAACCAAAGTAATTTTAGTTCCAGAATGCAGATTTCTCGATAATAACCAATAGTCGATGTCATCATTCCAACCAAATTGTTTATGAAGAGACATAATTGCTGCTACATGTCAACGAACACTTCCAGAGCACACACGCTCTCCGCCGTTTGATCCAATTAATTCAGTTTCACAGAAATGGCCTACCCTTAAAGAGCATATCTAGCGAGTATACCTAAAATCGACGAATAGTACAGTGTGTTAATTAATTATCGTACCCGACGTCATCATTGCAAGTATGCAACCAATATCACAGTGCAATACGCATCATACGCAAATCGGGTATCGTAATACCAATTTTGTGATATTGGTTGCATACTTGCAATGATGACGCCGGGTACGATAATTAATTAACACACTGTATATGTTATTCAGAAATGAAAGGTGAGCGGTGATTGTAGGAATGTTCCCCGAGTTGGCAGACCGACAAAATTGGGAGATAGAGACCGGGGAGTACTGTCCAGAGTAATTCGAAAGAACCGCACCCAACCCATGAACCACATACACCAGGAGTTTCAACAGGCATCCGGGAATGTTGTTTCGATGAATACCTTCGGTAACGACGCACATCTGCTTTCTTTGTGAATGGATCAGCTTTGAAAGGGCATAAATAAATTAATTAAATGGTTTAGTTTACTTTCGTCAGTTAACAGTTTGGTGACTTTAGAAGTTAGAACTCTAGAGATGTATTTAAGTTTTGTGTATTGTACAAAAATATTACAATTACACTATGAGAAAAAAAATAAAGTTGTAAGTGTGACCTTGCGACTAAAAGATTTATTATGCGTTACTAAACAAGAATTGGACAATAGGAAAAGTATCAAACCCATAAACTGTTCAGAAACAACGTTTTATCAACATCGACTACATTTTCGAAAACGCAGAATCACAGAAAACATTGCACGCAGAAAACTGCCTAACAAAACATCAAGAAGAATTGCTTTACTTGCTAATTACTCTATTTTGATATTGTGCTTGCTATAATATTGGTCTAAATGTTTCTCATCTGAACAATGCCTGCCCCGAATCGCATGTGGTGTCAACGAATTTCAGTGTTTCTGGGAATACCTAATCTACTCAGTACTTTACCTAATTCAAAGTTCTGGATGACAGCGGTGAAGAAGGTTTTTCTCAAGAATACAACCTCAAAAATTGGTCTAAAATTAGAATCTGAAAGGAGTGATACTACTGATGATGATGATCTTCTGATTATTATTAAGTTTTATTATTCATTTTCTTATGCTATAAATACACATATGATGCTGCAGATCAAAAAATAAACCTGAACAGTAGTATAAGGAGCCAAAATCACATAAAAAGGGAAGTCAACTATAGCAAAACGTGCTTCATGGAGACGCTAAGCAAAACTTGACTAATGCAGAGGGTTGCATGAGGAATGGTGCCTTATGGAGAAAGCTAGATGGTGACAAGTTATTACGATTTGTCTGCTAGCTAATATTGGCAGGAGTTTAGAAATCCCATAATCAAGGAATTACCGATTTATGGATCGTAGAAGGTAAACGCTCAATATTCAAGAAGACTGTTGCCAGAAATAAAGTCACTACAATTTCCCAATTTTTACGATTTCACAATGCTGAATCACGAAGAAAAAAAAAGATTATTTAGACAAATTAGCCAAAGATTAAGGTTTTCTTTGAGTTATGACTAAAACTTCAAGATGCCTACATACCCCATGAAAACATAACTGTCGCCGATGGAAGGCGCTCCTTCAAATAATATGTTCCTTCTAAACCAGGAAGAAATGAGATAAAGATTTGGGTAAACAAAGTAACTTTATATACATATACTTGCTAAATATACATCAAGAATGTAAGAGATGAGTGTTGTCATGGATGTGATAAAGGGATTGAAATGATCAGGAACAAATATGACAAGGTAGAGAAATGCAAAAAAGGAATTGGTCATCACGCAAGAGAGAAATGTGCCTCCTACTGTCTTAAAAAAGGAAGATTAGTAACTTGCTACCATCTATGCACAATACGAGTGAAATTTTTGAAAATGAAAAGAAGAAGCCACAAATAATTATATTATTGATGACAATAAAACTAAGCACTATTGACCAGCTTCTCTGAACATATTCTGTCAAAACGCTATCTAGAAGATGATGGTTATTTATAACATGAGTAAATGATTGTAGTTGTCTCGGATAATGGCTGTAGCCAAAATTAGTTAGACAGCAAACGTATAATAAAGCTCAGTTTATGTACAAAAACTGTTTGAACAAAGAACCACTTACAATCATCTAAATCAAGATTGGAGAACTATAAAAGTTTCGACATCTCCTCAAACAATTAGGAGAAGAATTGATTAGTACAGGAAACGCGCAGCTGCAAAAAAATGCACTTTTTACTTTTGAAATAATAACTCATTTGAAATACTTTTTGTCCAAGACCCTCAAATCTGACTGTGGGATTTTGAGTCGTGCTGTAATATTGCGTTTCGCTACTTTATATGCAAAACAGAGCATACGCTTTTGTTCAGATATGCTGCCGTTTATTAAATAATATAAGTCTTGTTTTTATGTTTTAGCACTTCCTGTTTGAACTAGCTCTCGTGGTGCTTCGTTGCAAACCAAGTTGGTATGATGAACCTATATCTATGTTACCCAATTTAGGTTTAGTGTCTGTATCTACAGATAGGCTGCTCTTTAGAAGTATAAAAGTAAGTAAATACACCAAACTTTTGTTGGCGCAATGATCCCACACAATGTCCATCTCATGTTATTTATCAAAATTACAGCAGAACTTAAAAACTGTCTATATTATTCTAGAAGCTAGAGTGCATTTAATCAATATTATCCAAGGTCAATAACCTGCAAAGAATGTTGGGTAAGATTATGGACATTGCACACGGCCAAAATTGATAAGGTCAGTTATGTTTGCTAAGGTTGATGACCCTTATTAGAAAAATCTTGGTTAAGGTTAGTTTTGTCTACCACGTTTCATGACTTCCATGACAGAAAAAGTCTCTTTTGTGTATCAAGGTTTTCATAAATATTGTCTATGTTCTGTACATAACCAAATGGAAAAAAAAAATCTTCATGTATTTGACTCAATTATTTTTTTTGTCGAAATAAAGAAACTATTTTAAATAGGTTATTTCTAGTTGGTGCCAGTTTTTCCCAGAACGACCAGAATTTAATTGTCGCCATACTTCACCTTCTGAACCTATATCCGATACGAAATTGAATTCGGCTCGAAGCCAAATACAAAAACAGATTTACCGACTTCGTTAAAGCCGTAAACTCGTCGACGGCAGCGGTTCGGGTCTACAGTTTAGAATTATAAGCCTGCTTGGGCATGTCAAATGTTTAATTATCTTTAAAACTGGTTACGCGACCTGAAAAGAAACTGAAACGGCAATTACCCGAACTGTCGAAACGATTCGATTAACTCCCAGAAAAATTCTATTCAATTATATTCACTTAGAAATAGTCTTTTATGATTATGTGAGGGTGAAATTGAGAGGAGGCGGTATATTTTCCCCTCTCAGCCATTAGCAAATCTGCGTCTCTATCAATTACAAGAAACGTCGTAGAGGAGGGGAAATTGTCACATAGCTTAGAAGCAACTCCTCAAGTCTACAAGTTCGCACGCGTACGTAGAAGTTCTCAGCTCTCACCGTATAATACAACCGGAAATTGCCGAAATAACTTCGCACTAGGTGTTCCGTCAAGAGACTGAACATTGTTTTAATCACGAAGCGAGTCTTCGCAGGTGAGCATAAAGTTGTCGACCGTGTGGAGACGTTTAAATTCCAAGAATCTGAGATTCGTTGCATCTTATTAGCGAACGAGTTGTGTTGAAACGTTTCTCGTGTCGTGGTATTTAATTTATCAACATTACGCGGCGGGTGCGGTCGCATAAAGGCGAAGAAATTGTTATAAATCGACGCGAGTGCATCAGGAAAATAACTGTCAAGCTACGAGACTATATATCTTTAAGATAAATCGTCGCGAAGAAGAGCTATGGAAAAAGAAAAATATACAAAGCCGTCGCGAAGCCAAAGTTGCACGTTTTATATGAAGATTAATACGGTGCTGGTTGGAAAACCGATAATTAATACGCGTGGCAAACGCATCGGGTGAACTTTAGCTCGGTTCCGAACGCGACCGTAATTTGTAATTACAACATCTACATTTACGAACCTCATCCGCGTGATGAAAACGGGCGTGAACTCGAGCGGAACTGATGAGGTCACAAGGTCCGTCGACCTAACCTCTTCCCAGCCGGAGTACTTCACGAGCGAACAGGCGGGGGACGGCGTGTCTGCAAAAGCAAAAAGATACCATTAATGCATATGCATGTGCGCTTCTTGTCAACGTAGATGCTACTCTACTCGGGTTCCATCAAAACTTGTCAATATACATTTTCCACAGTACGATGTTGCTTCAGAGTTACATACAAAATTTCATCAAAGTCACATTACATTAACTACTCTACCTAATTTATAAAGATATATCTAACATATTAAACTTTATTATCCTTGTATGCATACTTAAATTGAAATTCCAGCAAATAAGCCCTCGTATTTCATCTTGCGTAGGTATGTACCTATATCATTCACCATCCCCTGTTGATTTTAATTTTGTAAATTGGTGCTGACGTGAGCAAAGTGCTCTACGTATACGTCGCGTCCACCTCGACGCTCGCAACTACGGGTAATTACCCTTTGAGAGGAGATTCCCTACGGATTTGTCACCCCACATATGAGGGAAGTGACCGTCGGAACAAAGCGGATGAAAATCCGCAAGAACGCACCAATCTAACTCCCCTCGGTTCATACCGTTTTTGATTAGGCGACGTTTCCGGATGGGAAAGGATCTCGTTCGATGGCGCATCTAAAGAAGGTAGCAATTTTTTCTCTCCCAGTAATTACCGGGAGTAATGCGAACAATTCTGGCGTCAAATTACCGAGATTTAGGGAACGACTAACAGTCCAATTTGTAAGGGTCGAGTTTACCGTGAACGTATGGACTATTATTTGTAGAGATCACAGCGACATTCTTGATTTAATCTTCGTTCTTTGTCGCATGTTTTACTTCAATTAGCTCCTTTTAGTAGAAATTGAAAATTTAAATTTACTTAATGATTCGATTGATTGTTACTTATGTTGTCTTTGTTTTAACAATGTCATAGCAGATTATAGATTATATTGCAAGCTCTATTAGTACTAGTACTAAGTAATATACTTTTACCAAACTCAACCGGAGGCATGTCTTACAAGTATTTAACATATTACTTAATTTTCTTGAGAGATTTCTTAATTTTAGAATGAATAAAGCTGGTTGTGCAAAATTTTCGTCAAGCAAATGTGATGGATGTGGCCAGAGAGTTGCGTGAAACTCTGATGGTGTTCAATGCGTGACCTGTGGTTTCCCAGAAACTGAAACAGGATCCTCCATGCCATACGAAGTCCCTATATTGTATCTATGAAGGCAATATTGATTTTGTGCAATTCTGGAATAATAAAGTTTTCGTTTTTAACGGTGTTATAAACGAAATGTCCAATCACCTAAAGATCATTGTAATAAAGATCACAGAAGTTATCTGTATATTGTCTCGAATTGGTTCTTCATTAACTATTATCGTACTCACTCCAACATTATCATATTTCTAGACATATTTAATTTTAAATGGTTATAAAATGGGAAAGATAATTTAAAAATAAATACTTTATAACAGACCGAAAAGTAAAAATATATAAGACCCTAGCTAAGATATACAAGCAGAAATAAACAACTCATGCGAACAACTGAGATAAGCACTTTAGGAACGATAATGGAAAAGACAAGGAGAGATAGAATTAGGAAATATAAGCAAAGTTGGATCTCCACCTCTATTGAAACACCATGAATGATGTGTGAAAAAAAGAACAGATTATGACCTAACAAGAAGAAGAAGATTGTTCAAAATTACACTTGTACTCTTTTTGCTCCAATTCCTTCATATCCTTGGCGTACTCTCAGCAAAAGAGTTGCATACTGTAAGATTGGGAGACCTGGGAGTCCAGTAAACAATACCAAATCTTTCTTTTCTTCATGTTGAGACTTTCTCATTTGAATTCTGACCAATCAGTGATGCTAATAAAGCGTAGCTTCATCTTGTTGAAAAATTAACTTGTTAGAATCTTCTGACAGTTGCAGAAATAATAACCTGCACTTTGGCAATACTCATCACAGTGTTTTCAGATTAGAGCAACACTTTTGTCGTCAAAATTATAAACATTGCGAAGTTTATCAATAAGAATTGGATGAGAAACCATATCGAATGCACGAGACAAGTCCAAAAACATTGACATACAGTATTCACGCTTTTCAAAGCTGTAAAAACAGATATTCACATATTTAACTACCGCGTCAGAAGTGCACCTACCCCTTCGAAAGCCAAACTGATGAGGGTGCAATAAATTATTTTGGTCCAAGTATGCGATGAATGATGACAAGTCCTGAGATTTATTTTACATAGTGGAAAAGACGCATAAAAAGCCTTCATAATGACATTATGAAATTATTCTTGCATACTGAATACAAAAATAGTTTGCACGATACCTTGCATACCTTGCACGATATGTTCTAGGTGAAGCAGAAGTATGTTGTATAGTGAACGTGCCATAATTTTTGCAGATGACGTCAATTATCATTGCGCATTCATATTTATGTCGTAGGCAATATACAGATTTGAAGAAGGCGGAATTATTGTTACGCTTATTTTGCCAATTTCGTCGTTACCTTGTTGTTGCAAACAATTAAGCGTTTGGTTCAGCATCTCGTAGAAACTGGGTTGGGTTGGGTCTCTAATGACCCAGAATGAAAATAACCATGAATGAAAATATCGCTGTTGCAGCTGTGGACGTCCGAGAGAGTCCGCAAACATCAAAAGTGCATACAATTCGGCATCAGCAGATATTTACTACATCCAATTTTGGTGAAACGTCTCAAGATGTTTCAAATCGTTGACCACTTACTCCCATGCTTTCATAAAGTGTTGGAATAACACGATGATTTCCACAAAATTTGTGTTTTTGGGCTACGGAAAAACTAGTATAAAATGCATGAACAGCTGTTGCATCTCCTTAAAGTGACTGTTTGGTGCGACGTTTACAGTGAAAAAGTGATTGGCCCAGAAAGCATTGTTGGTTCCAACCCGATGGAGCAACCTCACACAGTTCGGGCAACAATGAAGATTTTTGAACACCAACTTTCGAGCTGTATGATCTTCTATTTTGGCGATTTGAACTGAAGGGCCAGATCTGATGGTGTCAGACTTTTTTCTTGAAAACTTTTAGAAATTTCGAGAAACCTTCCAAGTCATGAAAGCCAACATTTAAGAAGAAATCGCTAATGGAGCCAAATGTTTTGCAACAATTCTAAATGCTGTAAACGAGTACACATCTGTACCAACTCAGAAAGGAGTCTTTATCCAACTGCCTCTATCGTTTTCACCAGAAATCTGTGGTTTGGGTTTTACATTTAACTCTGCGTTCTTATATTGTCAATACTATGTGGACAACTCCGATGATATGGAGCATCATTTTTGTTTCATATTGCGTTAAAAAAATTTTAAACACATTAAAGACTAAAATTTTGTTCTTGTTTACAACATTTCATTAAGAGTTCTTTTTTACGTAAAAAACTTCGCGGGATTCAAAAATGTCGTCTAAACTAAAATTTAGTTTATGTAGTGGAAGTTAGAGGTTGCAGAATGATGATGTCCTCAATTTTTGTTTTTTTTTTACCACAAATTCTTTCACACCTTGGGAGCCGGTGTTGTTACAACTTTTAATTAAATCTACTTTTTTACGTAAAATTCATGGAGGAATTAAAAAATGAACTCAAAATCACAAATCATTCAATCAATACTGCAAGGTGTTCATTATACATCTACAACATCAATAAAGATATTAATTTCGATATTGATTTCGTTTTAGCTTGTTATTAAAGATTTTAAAATTATTTACCTTCAGGTAAAAATGCTGGCATAAATCATTTTGCGCGCTTACTACAGCGAAATCGATTATGAGACGATTTTAAAATACCCTGTCGTGTATAAACTATATTAAATATCAACTGTTATTTATTGTACGAATTATACGAATTGCGTCCTTTGTAATTTTTGTTTTGTATTTGTTTGATGTAGATCCATTTGTCGAATCGCTCTATATGTTTCAAAATGGGGAAATAAACTGAGATTTCTACCGGTGAATGTGGTTCGGAAAAAAAAACGGTTTACCATTAATACATGGCCTAGAGGGTTAAACAATCAGAAGTGAAATAGAGTGAGAGAGGGGACCGTACGTTGTTTAATTGCACTTGATCGGTATCTGTGATGTACGGTTTATATCAATAGCCTCAGGTTTATTCAGGGAGTGATTTGTGCGAACTTTGAACAGGGTGTGATTACGCCGCATTGTCGGGGACTGATTGTTGTGTTTGCGGCAATTTATATGACATTTTATTGCGACCAGAGGCTGCTGTACGGCGAAACGATAGACTTTTGGAGTATCGTTGAATGTCGCGAGTCATCGGATAGCGCTGTCGCGTTTTGTGCCGTTTTGCCGTGTTCAAGTCGTAAAAGGAAAACTGCTCGTGATAAAAATCGAGTTTACGGTCGCTCTGTAGTTCGCTCGTGTTAAGTTTTAGTGGGTCGTAAAGGGAATGGCCGATTCACGCTAATTTCCCATTGGAAATATGTTTGATAATATCCTTAGGCTTCTTTAAGATCCCCCGGAGACGTTTTGAAATGATTTCTCGCTGTTTATCCGATCAAATTATATTAGGGACTTCGGTTTTCGTTACGTGCAGGTATGAGGGGAAACCCTGATCTGATAATAAATAAAGGGTATATTACCGCGTGACCAGACTGCGATTTCCGAAGACCCTTTCTGATATTAACCCTGCTTTGCATGCGCGTTTTGTATAAGACGCGCATTTAAACCTGTTTATTCCGGGACAAATTTAGTTTCGACGCCGGCTTAGAATGCGCCAATCTAAATTCAAAACGCGACTAAATTTGCGAAGACCTACTTCCTTATTTGTCGTATTTGCATACTCCGATTGAAAGCGTGTTCGGGTACCCTCTCGTCCTTTTTTCGTGGTATTTATGAGAAAAGTTTTTTAATTAATGAAAGTCGTAGGCTATTCAAATTAAAAATGAGTCTGAAACATTAATACTTGTGATGTATTTTTATAAATAAGTATTCACGACCTGGATGTGTAAACAAAAATCTTCTTACTGGATATACGTTCAACCCCAAATATTTCATATTA